AAAAATGCTGAAAATGTTAATTTAGATTTTTAGTCCGTAGTTATAAGTTATATTTTAATTTATTTATTATCCATTTAATTAGTTTTAGATTAGTTAGCAAGCAACTCTTGTTGTTGAAAAATTACATCAGTAAATACTTAAATATGTGAATAAACTAATAAGAGGAAATAAAGTATCGTTTTTCTTTCGTTACATATATGTATGTATATTTCCTGAACATACCATATACATTCACTGAACATACACATGTACATTCACTGAACATACCATGTACATTCCCAGAAAATACACATGTATATTCACTGAACATACCAGGTACATTGTCAGAACATACACATGTACATTCACTGAACATACCATGTACATTCCCAGAACATACCATGAACATTCAGTGCATTAACTCTGACAGATTCCTGGGACATTCATGGAATGTTCATAATGTAACTCATGTATGTACCAGGAATATGCATGTACATCACATAAATGTTCCAGGTATATTCTGGGAATATCATTTTGCTATGTGGGTAATGGAACATTTTCCACCCAACTATCAGGAATAACTGATGCTACATTTTCCATAGAGCTTTCCCCTCCGGTACACTCAATTTCAATAAATCTATTTGGAACTGCGTTACGAACAAGTCCCAAATCTTTCGAATTTGCATAACAACTTTCCGAAAAGTGATTATTGCATAACCTGTAATTTTGCAGCGTAAGACCGAAAGCGACCCGAAAATTTCATTCCCAATGCCTCCTGCCAAATTTTTGATCAACAAAAATTAGCAATGGAATTAGAGCCCATAAAACAACCATACATTTAGTGGATAACAGCAAATACTACAGACTATAGTAAGAAGGTACCAGAGACAAATCTTGAAGACTTGTTTCTGAAGGTACGTACTTTTCCAGATTAGATGGAAAACGATGCATTTTTTGAACATGATCTGCATCTAATCCACAAATGAGGCACTTGATTTTGGTTATTAAGCGAGGAATAAATCGTATAAAACCCACCACCAACTAAGAACACTCTACAAACTAAGAACAAGCTACAAACTAAGAACTTAAACCACAATCAAGCAACAATAAACAAATCAAGCATTCGCTATCAAACCACAGATCGCAAAACTCTTTGAAATAAAAAAGAGTAAATATGCAAAAAAATTTATATTGACAGCAATCAAAAATCGTCAAAGTAAGGTTAACGCACAGAAACGATTGCAATAAGTAGCGTTGTCGTAATTATTAACTCAACACTATGTGTGGTTTTTCCTCAATGGATTAGATAAGGAACGAAAATAATTATTTTGGCATTAAATATAACAACGGCAACATAGCCTTTGGGACAGCTCGCGCCCTCTGACAAGACGGTGGCACATAATAGTAAAGAGAAAGCTCATTGAAGAAACATAGCAAAGAAAGAGACCGAAAATGACCTATTTTTGGGACGTTTTTTAACGCCTAGTTTCTCGTCTCTACTTGTCTCTGATGGTACGATGATACAAAAGTGTTCTGTTGGTTGGAAATCTGTTAATTCGTGCGTTGTAGTACCAACTGACAGATATTCAATCAGTCCCTGCAAATAGGTTAAGATCTGAAACCTTTTCAGTTCCATGTTATTGAATTTTCAGTTACATGTTATTGAATTTTGAATTTTCAATAAGAATACTGAAAATTTAATTACAATGTGCATGAATTTATTTTCAACAACCAAAACCTGAGTTTTCAGTTACAAAACTTACTGAAAAGTAACTGAATTTTCAACTCATTTTTAACAGTGTGGCCTCCGGGTTTCCCTATGGCATTAAATTAAAAAAAAATTGTATATATGAGGTCTTGAAATCAGTACTATTCCGGATTCCGTGAGAGGGGAAAACATTTTTAATTTTAAAATTCTTATATATAGATCTTATATATACAGATAGAACTATGTCACCTCCGAAATCTACGTATATACCGTATACTATGTCGTCTTTGTGACCTCCGACAATGTTGCCATCAGCACGGAGGTCAGATGGTACGAAGGAGTGATTTTTTATATATATTTATCCATACAGTTAGCATCATTTTGCAAGTTAAGTAGTTCTGGAGCCCGAAATTGCATTTTGGCCAACACCAATTATGAGACCATGATGAAATTGTACCGACAAGAAATTACACT